AGAGATTCACGTGGGCGACTCATATGGTAGTGGGGATAGTGGAAACGAGGAAGAGATGGTGGATACAGATGAGGGTCTAATGTATGTCAGTTGATATTATACGGAAGCGGGTGTATGAAGACTATTCGAAGTTGCGGCTCCTGGGTAGGTAAAGGATACTGGGAAGGTCGGAAATTACGAGTGACAGTGAAAAGTCATGAGAAGGAATAAAGTAGGTAAGGAGGAGTGCGACAGTAGTAGAAGTCGTGAGCTGAGTCGTCGGTAACGTGTGGACCTGTGTTTGGGATTCAAGATGAAGTGGAGTGTACTAGGGGAGTTGATACCACGAAGATGTGTATCCAATGTTGAAGGAGAAGCTGAAGGTACTCTAAGGAGAACGAGTAGAAGACGGAGTGCTGGTCCCAGAGGAAGTGTCGCAAGGGAACAATCATGAGTGCTGAAGGAGGTTTCCGGGGAGCTGGTTTGAGGATGAGGTGAGGACGTTCGGCGGAATGGGAAGTTATAGAGGTGGAGTTTGAAGACGGACGACGCTGTTAGTTCGCAGTGAATGTGAGTGAGGATTAGAGTGCGTTGAAGGGGAGACGGATAATACGGCGAGTGACGTGGAGAGTTCCGCAAGTCTTGGGGAAGATGACCAAGGTAGAAGATGAGTTAGTGGGCCTGGGGCAGAGGGTTCGATGAACTATGAGTATAGCGAGTACGCCATACGATAGTTCGGGATCGGGGGGAAGTGAGTGTGAGTGTAAGTCGGATGTGATGGATGGAGTTTTGGATGGAGCGAATGGAGTGGAGAACAGGACCTGTCACGGACAATAAGTCAGGCATCGAGCACAGCAGTAAGGATTGCGTCTACTTGGGAATAGAAGAGTGAGATAGAAGTGTGGGGCGTCGGTGCGACGAAGTCGAGTAAAGAGCCAGACATACGGTGTGGGCCATGACGGGGTGGAGTAGTGGGGAGGTGGAGCGAGGGTCAGCGTGCAGTGGTGAGTGAGAGACGTAACGGAGTAGGAGAGCTAAGCGAGAGTTCAGAGGGTAGGCTAAAGGTGGTTAGAAGTAGGAAAAGTAGTCTGCTAGTCGTGGATAGAGATGGAGCAGTGAGTCGTGAGTTGGAGTAACGTGTAGGGAGGGAGCGTTGAAGTGCCGAGTGATCCTACGGCTGCGACAGTGGAGTTCTGCATGTGGAGGCGAGTGACAGGCACGGGAGGTGATAATAGGCGGAGTGGGCAGGGTAAACAGTCCAATAGGAAGAAGAGGTGAGGAGTGTATTGGTACAGGATGGGGAACGAGTTGGCCTGTTTGAAAGTGTATCGGGTCTCTTGGAGTGAGGTTCGGGGAGTATGTCGGCTGCAGTTAAGTGAGATGTAGTTTGAGGGCAGGAGTTGAGTTTCGGTAGTCAGTTAGTCCAGTGATTGCGGAATAGAGAAACGAGTGAGAGCGTGACGAGAAACAGTGAGTGGAGCACAGTGGAGTGTCTTGCTGTCTCACTGTGGAGTATGAGGAGAGTTAGAGGAGTCACAAAGTAGACACGTGCAGGTAGTAAAGGTATGCGTGAGAGGCAGTACGATAGGAGTGGGATCGAAGTGGGGAGAAAGTGAGTGCAGGAGTGGGGAGAGGAGGGTAGTCTATAGGCGGTTCAAGTGAAGTACGAAGCTCCTAATAGAGCCGGAGTGTGAAATTGAGAAGGAGTCGTGTCTAGATGAACTATTGCTGCCTCAAGAGTGACTAAAGGAGCAGGGGCGGATGCAGGTGTTGAATGAGAGTCGTGACCTGGACGTCATTTGGATGGCAGGAAGTAGTGGTAGTGAAAAGAGCAGATTAGACGTGGTTCGTGACGCCGTAGTGAGAATCCGTATAGAAGATGTGATTTGAGGAGAAGAAGTGGTGGGGAGCAGCCGGGAGTAAGTGACGGGTAAGTGGGAGGTTGGAGTCCGTCCTGTGAGAAGAGGGTTGGTCGGTAAGGAGTGGGGAGAGTGAGGAGAAGTAGAGGGTGACCCCGAAGTGCAGTTGGTGTTGGAAGAACCAGAGGTATGAGGATGGCAATCGGTGATAAGGAGTGTGAGTTGCCGGTATAGATGTATGAAGGGGGGAGAAGTAGACAAGCGGCGGGAGAGAGTGCCATCTGTCGGATAGGGCGATGCTCGGTGACGGGTTCAGTGAAGAGGGACGGTGACGTGGGAAGTGACGATAAGAGTGCGGGCAAGTAGTGAGTGATCCTGGGGAAGGAGGGACTTCGAGTGTTGTGACGTGTGGGCCAGTAGAGGAGAACAGCCCCCTGCCCTACCACCACCAAGGACCACCAAGGAGGAGCTCCAAAGAAGGTGAGCGAGTGGCAGACGGAGGCAGTATACACAGATAGTAGTGGAGTGGTCATGGGCGGAGTGTAGGCGAGAGTGAGGGTAGGGACATGTTTGAGGGGGTTTGAAAAGTCCAACCTGAGGTAGAGTGAAAGGGCAAGGCCAGATTACAAGGCGTACGGAATGTGGCGGAGTCGACGGAGGAGTCTTGAAGCCTTGGGAGAGCTTTGGACAGGTAGTATTTGCATTTTCTGATAGTCCAGGGTGCAGGAGTAGGACGGGGTCAATAGTAGTAAGAAAGCCGGGGCCTGAGTGGGAAGTGTCAAGCACCCAATTGGAGGCGGAGTAGGAAGGTCTTTTTAGTCGCAACATCTGGATTCAGCTTTTGGAAAAGAGTGTAAGTGAAGAGAGAGAGTGATTGGCGTGAGGGTAGAGAGATCCAGTGATACTCAAAGGTCGTTGAAATGATCGGCAGCCAACGTGTCCGGAAGTGTCAAGACTGGCGGTCGGAAGTGGAGAACCTCCAAGGGCTGAAGTTGGGAGGAGGAAGTCGAGGTGGAGTGAGAACCGAGTCCGAGTTACGCTGACTTGCCGTTGGTGTAGTGAATAAGGCCAGTGACGTTTGACCCCGTTCGCCACCCATGACGTGGTGAGGAGTGGTTGTCGAGTTGCTGAGTGTAGTATCTGATGGAGATGTGGGGTGAGGGTAATGGAGAGTCTGAACAGTGTCTGTATTGGGCAACTCGTGCGACTGTGAGTGCGTGCGGAGTGACATAGTGGAGGGTACGGGGGCGAGCGTAGTGCGTCTCAAGTGAATGGGAGTGGGAGTGAAAGAGAAGTGTGGAACACTGTTCGGCGGAGTATGAGTGAAGAGCTAAGTTGGATAAGGTCTGTTGGGGAAGTAACACCGGAGAAGGGTTATCGAAGTGGAGTCGATGGATCTATTGGAGTGTTGTGGGCGCACGGATGTACGGCAGTAGTAGGTGCAGATGAGTGGTCGGTATAGCCTGGCCGATGGTGGAAGCAGAGAGCCGAGTGATGATGGGTATGCAAGGTGGATAGTAGGCAGTCTAGATGGCATGGGCGAGAAAGCGACATAGGATATTCGGGGGTGGGGTGGGTCGAGGGGATTAAGCGGGCACGGTAAGGTTGCGAGGTTGAGGATGAAGAAGTGTTTTGGGACAGAGATTGAGTGCAGTAGTGAACGAGTGAGTGGTCGGCTGTGGACGAGGAGTGAGGGAGCATAGACGGGGGCACTCAGCAGGTCTGGAGTTCAAGTTGAATGTCAAAGTGATCACACCCGTGAGAGCGACGGGGAAATGTGCTGGCGCACGTTCGTACTTAGGGCATGATTCGATGTTAGCGTCAGTAGTTTCGAAGTGAAAAAGTATACAGCTTGCAAAAGAGTTGGTAGGGACGTTGGCGTGGGTGCGAGATTAGGTAAGCTGGATCGTGAGTATGGAGTACCGAGAATGACGTGGAACGTAAAGGTGTGACCGGAGTGCCGGACGTAGTAGATGAAGTTAAATGAAGTGGCGATCAGTTGGGAAGCGCCAGCTTTTACATTGATGACGTGAAATGAGTAGTGAATTGGAAAAGGCAGTGAGGAAGTGGACGAGTGCTAGTCGTGATCGGTAGTAGTGGAGTGCCGAGTAGTATGGCTTGGTTCAGGGTGAGGGAGTCGAACCCCAGGTTACAGGTTGGGCGTAGGGGCGGAAGTAGAGTGAGGGGGGGTGATGTAAGGGACACACGTGAGTTGGCAATATGACGTGAGACTTTTAGGGGAGAGTCAGTGGAGTGACCAACAGTTAGACGCGAGAGTGCGGGATTGAGTTGAGTTGAGGAGGTGAGTGGTGCCGCTAGTGGCAGTGGCGGGCGCATGTCGTAGTGGGAGTGCGGAGTAGACTGAAGGGGAGGAGACCTAGTGCAGTAATAATGTAAGGATGCGCGGAACTTGACGTGAGGAGTAGATGTGTGGGGAAGGCTTCTGGAAGACAGGGCAGTTCGCTACGTCATTCCAGTTGAGTTTAGGGAGGTCTACAGCCGAGTGAGCCGAGGGGTAGGAGAGCGATAGTCACGAACTGACTGGTGCGTTGTGAGTGAATATGATGTCGATTGAGTGAAGGCCCCCCGGTATGAGGGAACGTATGATACAATAGTGGACCGATATCGATAGATCTGTGGGGGACGATAGCGGGGTAAGATAGGTATGGAAGTCCACGTAGTCCTAAAGAGGTGAGAGCTGGATTGATGGCGGTTACGAATCCAGAGTGCAGTCAGTACCTTTCTGGGGAGTATGGCACTATGTAGGAGTATGTTGGTTGGACGGTAGTGGTTGGGGAGCGTTCGGAGGTGAGTGTGAGATGATATGAGACCGAAGGGGGAGGACGGCGGAGTGATGAGCACGCAGTAATCCAGGGGGAGGCGACAGGGCAGAACTACGCGAGCCGGGGGGAGTTAGGGCAAGTGCTAGTCTTAGTGTAAGGGCGAGTGGCCCAGCTCAGTTGCTGAGTAGGTGAAGTACCAGGTGATTCCGGAGTGGTGCGAACCATGCGCTGATCTATTGCTTTCTGGAGTTAGTGATGCGAGTGGGAGTGGGGGAGATCTAACAAACTGCAGGTAACTGTGAGCCGGATAAGTGTTGGGGCAGATATAGTGTCGGCGAGTTCTCAGACCTCGCTGTTTGGGTTGTTAGTCTGAAGTGGAGTGTCCGAGTGACTCACACAATTGAGTGTTTGCAGCCGGACCCGAGGTATGCCGAGTGATTAAGTGATATGTGGAGTCGTTGGCGCTACAGAGTTGGCGTTCCAGGGGATGCAAACTTACCGAAAGGAAAGACAGTCCTAAGTACGAAGTTAGTGAACTTATGGTACCAGTCCTTTAAAGCGTAATTGAAGAGTGACCTAGCGAGCTATGTGAGACGGGTGATAGTCGACCCCGGGAATTGAGACTTCCTTTGTTAGGAATTTTTGCATTTCTGTTAGGAGTCGGTTCGTTGGCAGTGACATGGTGATGGGAGGCGAGTTGAATAGAGTTATAGTGGCACTAAGCTTGAGACTAGTGCTTCTGACTTGTTCAGAGTCAGTTTTGTCGAGCCTAGTGGGAGACAGGGAGTTCGTCAAAGATGTACATAAGTCAGAACGGGCCACGGGTTAAGTATATCATGACCGGTCGACGCAGTGAGTGAGGGGATTAGTTGAGCAGCCAGGCTGTACTTGGCGAAACTATGAGTCGACACGTGTGTTAGTGCGAGGAATCGGTATGAGGCGAGTTAGCCGGGGAGCCGGGGCCATCTCGGGGGTTTATCAGGAGTGTCAGGTGGGGGTGTACAGAAAGTGACAGGAGTGTAGGATAGCGGAGTTCGTAGCAGGTACAGAGGAGGTGGAGACTAAGTAGGTCTCGCGGCCAACTTGTGCAGGAGGGATGACATTCTAAACGAAGGCGCGTGGTGATGAGTGGAGTGAAGATAGTGAGTGTACTCTAGAGAGTCAGACTAGTGGAGTACAACTGAGTGACGGGGTGTAGACCTGCAACAGAGGTGGCACCGGGTCACTAGTTGACGGGGATCGAGGAGTGAGTAAAGTTGATAAAGTTGAGGTCCAAGTAAGCTAGCATGTGGGAGTTGGTAAAAGAGTCGGTAGTAGACGACGCTGGGGACGGAGTATGTAGCGAGTGAGCGAGAGTGAGAGAGGGGGAGGAGCGTGTGTGTGTGATGTGCCGTGGTCATAAGTTACTAGGATAGGGTTGCTGTGTGAGTACGTACGGGGGAGTGGGATGCCCTCAGTAGTGGCGTCGGACGAGTACGAGTTGAGCCACGTACGACCTGTGCAATCGGCTACTCGGGCGCGGGGGTTTGGCAGTGAGGGTTATGAGCAGTTAGGGTGGGGTCTCGCGAACGCCCTGGGAGCCCGTGAGAGTGTCCATTTTGGACTGGGCGACCCTCGATCCATGGACGTAGAGGTGGCATTGAGAGTCGGTGAGCATTGGGGGTTTTTTTAGTCTGGAGTCGAGTTTACAGGGAGTGACATTGGGAGAGTGGAGATCACCCAAGATGCGAGTAAGGAGATAGGATGGGAGAGTGAGCTCCTGGACGCAAAGCTCAAGGTTACCACAATGACTCGTTGCAGCTGAAAGTGGTGACATAAGTAATAGGGAGAACTGATAATGGCACTAATGGAGAGAGTATCAACGGCTGGAAACGGCATTGTGGTAAAGCCTTAACATTGCTTGCGGATACCTAGGGTATCTCAGAATAAGTCAACAGACTGCAAATATAAGTGACGCAAGCAGTCCCAGAGGGAAGTAGAAAACTGGATACTGGAAAGCTCCGGATATGCGCAGAGATAGGTGGGGCTAATAATGGCATTCTCTCCCCTTTCGTCTGATGAGTCCTAAGAACGGGAAACCTTAGGACGCAGGAAGGAGCCTCGCTTGGACATCGTCACAAATTGTACTGATATTTCGGCTGGGAATGATCAGCAACAGGTAATATAGGCAACGTTGTACCCATTTCTTTATCCTTCACGTGAACGGTCGCACGGTATTTGATTATCTCAATGCCGGCTGGGGTTGGTTAATTTGACCCAAAGTGCTTACGGGACAACTCGGGCTGTGGCAGCTCAAAGTGCAGTAAGATCTCTGAAGGAGAATAACTCATCGACCCTCTTGGACCATTACATCCGCTGCTCTTGCCCACCTTGATTGCAAGTTGCCCGGCAGGGCACGAACCAGTCTCTCGATGGTGGTCACGGAGTTCAAATCCGCGGTGAAGTTCATCCGCGTCAGCGCAACCTAGCAGTTCTCCATCTTTAGCAACAAAAAAGACAACGCACCTTGGTTGTTAGGTAACAATCTTAACCCGGAGAATAAGCTATCAATCAATGACCGGGCTAATATGTGAGACTGGTAGAGGAGTTCACGAAGTATGTTTCGAGCCATCTCGTTAAGCCAGTTCTGGGTGGCAACATAACACACTCAGCTGATAGCCTTCTTAGCCCTAGCCCTACAAGTAATAAGAAACAAACACAATAGAACGCTGGGACGGCACTAGGTCACTGACTCATCTTCCGACACTCGACGAAGTACTCAAACTGTTTTTACCACAAATTTCCAATAAGTAGCCGGGTTACCATATCGAAAACTTTCAAGCTCGACCTATAGAAAGTTCAAACGAAGGGTCGAGACAAGGCACGTGTGCCAGGCTTGCAAAGGGCTTATGGATCTCCTCAATCGGCACGCTATTTCCACAATTCCTCCAAGAATCGTTCACCTGCTTACGTATTAGCAGGGGAGAGTCGCTCAACGTCATCTAACTCCCCCCGCCAATCCAGCTGCAGTTTCGCTATCTAAGCTCAATTTCAGTCTTTAATTTCTTAAGTTCCGCAAGCTAAGGAGCCCTTAACGCCTTATGCAAATTTCTGCTGGATTTACGTAAAAACACTATAATGCATACCCAGAATCAGAAGGGGCAACATCAACAATGGGAGCATGTTCAACTTGCCGCGGGTCTTCAAAAGAAGTCAGGATATTCGCCGATCTCCTCGTCAAAGGCATGGCGGAATCCAAACGTAATTCAATCCAGTAGTCAGATCCGAGTGTTAGTCAAACAAGCCTCACCAAATCAAATCGTTTAGCACTGCAAGCGATAAAACGCTTGAAACCTTGAGCAATACGACAGGCCACCGGGTTATCGAAATTTAAGACGGGAACTGATTCGCCATCCCGGGATAAGTCAAAAACTCAATGCTGGTGCAACTGTCGTGCTATTACATAATA